TTATATATGTATATTTTTATATGTATATATATTTTTATATCATTATATAGTTATATAAGTTGTTGTTATTGTTTTGTGCTGTCGAGTCACCTTCGACTCATAGCAACATGTACAACAGCCCTAAACCCTGCTCTATCCTGTGCCAATCTTATTGTCTCTGATACACCTACTCACATTACCCCAGTCACTGAATCAATCATCTCATCAAGTTTCTTCCTCTCCTGCATTGTTCTTCCACCCTCCTAAGCAGGACGTCCCTCTCCAAGGAGGGATCCTGACTTGTAACATCACCAAAATATTTCAGAAGAAGCTTCAGAATCCTTGCCTTCATGGAGCAGCCTGGCTACACCCTCTCCAGGACAAATATGTTTGTTTTCTTAGCAGTCCATGGTATATTCAATACCCTTCTCCAGCACCACAGCTCAAAGGCGTCTATTCTCCTTCTATTATATCTATTCATTCTCCAGCTTTCTGATAACAGTAATAGCAAAAACTATGGCCTATATTGGGCTCACTTTAGTTTCCAAACAGACATTTATGCTCTTCAGTACTTTGTAGAGGTCTCTGACAGCAGACTTTCCTAATCTTTTAATTTCGTGGCTTCTGGTACTAAGATTGTTGATTGTAGAGCCAAGCAAACTAAAGCTCTTAACAATTTCAATCTCTCCATCATTTATCAAAATCCTGCCAATAATCCCAGTGGTGAGAACCTTTGCTTTCTTGATGTTGAGCTTCAATCTATATTGGAGGCTGCAAACCTTGTTTTCCTGCAGCAAGTGCTTTAGATCCTCCTCAGTTTCAGTACACAGTGTCATGTCATCTGCATAACTCAGATTGCTGATGAGTCTACCTCCACTCGTGATGCCACACTTCTCATAGAGTTCAGCCACCTGAATAATCTGGTTGAAAAGATATGGAGATAGGATACATACTTTGCGTATACCTTTCACAAATTTGAACCACACAGTGTTTCCATGCTCTGTTCTGATGACTGCCTCCTGGTCCAAGTATAGTTTTTGGTTAAACACAATCAAATATTCTGGGATTCCCATTTTTCTCAGAGACAGCCACAATTGATTGTCTTCCACACAAATTAGTTTCCATAGTCAATGAAACACAGATAGACATTCCTCTGGTACTGTCTCCTTTCAGCCAAGATCCATCTGACATTAACAATAATATTGCTGGTACCACAGCCTCTTATAAACTCAGCCTGCACTTTAGGCAGTTCTCTGTTGATGTGCTTTTCCAGTCGTTTTTGGATGATCTTCAGCAAAATCTTGCTTGCATACGATATCAATGACATTGTTCAATAATTTCTGCATTCTGTCAGATCACCTTTCTTTAGAATGGGAACAAATATATATCTCTTCCAGTCAGTTGGCCAGGTGGTTGTCCTCCAGATTTCTTAGCACAACTTGGTGAGGACATTCAGGGCAGCATCTGTTTGTTACAATATGGCAATTGGTAAGCCATTAATTCTTGGGCCCTTGGATTTTGCCAATTCATTCAGAACAGTTTGAACTTTCTCCTTTATCATCACAGGCTTTTGCTCATATCTTGTTTGTCTGCCAATTCTTTTTTGGTACAATGACTCTATATACTCTGTCTTCTTTTAATGTTTACTGGATCATTTAGTATTTTGCCCAAAACATTCTTAAATAATGCAACTTGAGGCTTTAATTTATTCTTCAGTTCCTTCAGCTTAAGAAATGCTGAGTGAGTTCAGCCCCTCTTGATTTTCTCACTCCAGCACCTTGCACATTCCACTGTAATACTTTCTTTTTCTTCCCCTGATATCCTTTGGAATCTTCTGCTTAACTCTTAATATCTTGATTTCTTCTCTTAGCTTTGGCTTCTTAGCACTCTAGTTCAATATTCAGAGTTTCTTCTGACATCTATCTTCATCTTTTCTTCCTCCTTTGTCTTTGCAATGACCTTTGCATCTTCCTGAATGATACTCTTGATATCCTCTCACAGCTCATCTGATCTTTGCTCATTAGTGTTCCAGGTCTCAAACCTCTTTCTGAGATGGTTTTGAAATTCAGGCAGGATAGATAGGTTCCCAAAGATTTAATTTAATTTTAATTTAATTTTCTTCATCTTTAGCTTGAACTTACAAATGAGTAGTGTAGGTGGTCTGTCCCACAATCAGCACCTGGCCTAGTTTTCACAGCTGATATTGAGCTTCTCCAGCGATTCTTTCCACAGATGTAATTGAGCTGACTCCTATACATACCATCAGGTCAAATTCATGTGTATAGCCAATGTTCATGTTTCTTTGTTGTTGTTGCACAAGCTTTTAAAAACTTTTTACTATTAATTTTAATGAACGTTTAAAAAGACTTTGGATTTCCCTTCATTCATTGTTTCATTTTTCTTCCTATCCACCCCTCCCTTCCCCCAGTTTTCTCTTCTCTTTGGAAAGAAAAAGAAAAATTCATTCTTTGGTGTACAATACCCCCACCTCTGAGTCCACTCTACTATGCAGCCTGTATGGCACTCTCTCAAAAAGTTGCAAATAGAGATACCATTTGACCCAGAAATTCCACTACTGGGAACATACCCTAAAGAAACCATAACTGTCACCCAAGCAGATATATGCACACCCATATTTATTGTGGCTTTGTTCACAATAGCAAAGAGAAACAACCTAAGTGCCCATTATCAAACAAATGGATAGAGAACCTGTGATATATTCACACAGTGGAATACTATGCTGCATTGAAAAATAAGGAACTTATACAATATTATTCAAAATGGGTGACCCTGGAGGACATTATGCTGAGTGAAATATTTCCATCACAAAAGGACAAATATTGCATGGTGCCACTGTTGTAGAATGGACTGACCTCAGGACTGGGGTGAGACTGAGAAAGATTGGACAAATTATGTATTCTGCATTGAAACAGATGAGATAGAGAACTGTTTAACAGAGATATATGACTGGGTATCATGGTCATGACAAGAGTCCAGAAGTGTTCATGTTTCTTATAAAACATATTCGCAATGAATAAGTTGATGATTGGGCAAAATTCTATCATCCTATCATCAGCTTCATTTCTTTCACCCAGTCCATGCTTTCCAACTCCTTCTTCTTTGTTTCTAACTTTTGCATTCCAGTCACCAATTATTATTAATGCATCTTGATTGCATGTTCGATCTATCTCTAACTCAAAAGTCAGTAGAAATCTTCTATTTCCTCTTCTTTGGCTCTGGTTGTTGTTGCATACATATATATATGTATGGAGATTGTGCTGTCACTCGCATCATTGTATTTCAAGACAAATATAGAAGTGACTTTTTAAACTATGAAAGAAACCCCATTTTTCTTCACCTTTTCATCTCCAGCATAGTAGATCATAATATCACCTCACTCAAACTGTCACATGCCACGCCATCTCATTTTGTCAATACCTAGTATGTCAACATTTACGTGTTCCATTTCTTTCTTAACAATATCCAATGTTCCTACATTCATGGTTCTCACATTCCATGTTCCAGTCTCTAGTGTCTGCTTACAACTGTTTCTCCTGTGTTCCCATACTTGGGGGCTCAGCCTCAGTTTCCATATCTGCTAGTCTATATATTGTTGTTGTCAAGTGGGAACTGATCCATAGCTGACCTCTGGCAGGTTTTCAGAGTCAGTTAATCATATGGGAGAAGACTGTCCATCTTTCTTTTGTGGAATTAACTGCCACTGAAAACCCACTGGCGGGTCAACTATAGGTTGGTGCTGACTCAAGGGTACACAATAACAGTAAAAATAGAAACTAATGTGCAACGAGATTGCATGGTTTGGGAAAAAAAAACACCAAAAACCAAACACAAAAATCCCCAAAAACCTAGTATAGCACATTCGTTATTTGATTACAAACAGAAATCTTGCCACCTGGCCAAGCTTTACTTGAGTTGTTTCCTATCTGTTTGCAGGTTGACTTGCCATTGTTCTTAAAGAAATAGTTTGGGATTGAAATTTGGTGATTAAGTCAGAAGGTCTCTCCTGGCATTGTGCTGTGTATCACTCCAACTGTTCTTGTTTAGATAGTGTGTTTATTTGGGTTTATTGAAAGGGAGCTTTCAGAGATTTTTGTGGGCAGGGCAATCTCAAAACATCCAGTTATTACCTAGTCCTGATCTAAGCCCTGCTGCAAAAAAAAGGTGTTTAAAGATTCATCCACCCTTTCCTCAAGCTACAACTCTGACTTTATTGCTTGTTCAATTAAAACCTTTGCTCCACCATGAGCCTTGAAAAGGGGTTGTTGATAAAAAGGGTAAAAGTGGGATGGATAGCCAATAATATTCTAGTTGAAATATCTTTGCATTACCCAATAAGCATTCTTTCCATACAGATCCCTGCAAGGAAGACGATTTTCAGTGTGGAACTGGAGAGTGTATTCCGTTCCTGAATCTCTGTGATGGTCACCCACACTGTAAGGACAACTCAGATGAAGCACACTGTGGTATGTCTTAAATTAAAAAAAAACAAACATTATCATTTTGCTTATGGATTTAGGAAGTAAATGTGTTTGTTAGTCCATGTTTTGTTACATTTTTATTTTGTTGCTGTCATTGAACAAATGCTCAGCAAAACAAATATCGTCTCAACAGTTTCTACATGCACAATTCAGGGACATTGATGACATTCTTCAAGTTGTACATCCATTTTCATCCATCTTTTATGTCTAGTTCTTCCCCCTAAGTAATCTTTCCAGTTGTTTTTGTTACTTTGATCCCACATTATTGTCGTAGTTGATTGAGTCGAGCACAACTCATAGCGACTCTATAAACAAAAGGCCTGAAGCTTTTCTATAGCTATTGTTATTTATCAAAGTTCATAGAGTTTCCAGAGACATGTCATATAGGAAGTGTGTGCCACTCCTGATTTCAAATAGTTAGATATTAAAAGTGCAGATTTCTAAATACTCAAGGCAGTCAGTTTTTACCAGTTAAGGTACACTGTTGTTTGGTGTCAAAACTTCAGGATATGTTTTTATTTTAATGTTTAAAGTTTATATCAGGGCATATTTCAGGGGTTTATCAAACAATGTTTACATGCTATTAATGCACTTCATCACATTCATTCTGATTCACAAAAATCCTATAGAACAGAACTGCCCCACAATGTCTGCAATGCTATAAACATTTACACATTAAGACTAAATAATCTTTTTCATGTAGACTGGCTTATTGTTTTAGGGGAAAGTCTGCTGTCAGAGACTTCTCCGAAGAGCAACAATGTCAGTCTGGAGACTAAGGTGTGCCTGATACAGGCCATGGTCTTTGCAATAACTTGCTATGCATCAGAGATCTGGACAATGACTAACTAGGACGATAGAAGGAGAATTGACGCCTTTGAGCTTTGGTGCTAGAAAAGAATATACCAAGGACTGCTAGGAGAACACACAAGTTCATCCTGGAGAGGGTGAAGCCAGGCTACTTCTAGGGTTATAAAACTCCATTTGACATACTTTGAACATGTTGCAAGGCAGGATCAGTCCTTGGAGAGGGACAAAATGCTTGGGAGGATTGGAGGGACAGAACAGGAGAGGAAGACCCTCAATGAGATGGATTGATTCAGTGACTGGGGTAATGTGGATAGGCATGTCAGAGACAATTAAGATAGAGGGATAGAGGAAGGTTTAGGGCTGTTGTACATAGGGTCACTATAAGTCGCAGGTGACTTGACAGCACATCACAATAACAACAACAGTATCAACCAATGAGTGGAGGGCTAATAGATTTGAATTGCCAGATTTTCAGTTATCTGTACAGTGCTTAAATGATGCTGATAGATGTATTTTCAGATTATTTTTAAACCACTTAAGTAGGGAGGAAAGTTAGCATGTAAGCATCAGTGTTATTTAATTTGACTAGATTTAATAACTTAATATAGTAAAATACAGTCAAATAAGCACTGACATTAAGTCAGATCTGACTCACTATGTGCATCTATTCCGTTTCTGAGACTGAAAATCTATAAAAGACTGCCTAGCTTTCTCTTTAAGAGGAGCTGATGAATTTGAACTATAGAATTTTCAATTAGCCACGTGTGTTATGTGCTATGTACCACAAATAAAGATCATGATATATGGAAGAGACAAGAGTCCAAATCTTGTACTATATTGACATACTCACTGATTATTGTAATTTGGACATTGATCTTTTCCCCCTTTATTTCATTTTTTAAAAATAAATAAAATTGGTTTCTTTACAATGGATTCTTTTCATTGGTGATTCAATATCTACTACTTCTTTTGCCTTGTTGACTTTTCAATCCATCCACCTTCCAGACTGTGTGTTATGAGTTATCATTACTTTTCATGACTTACATATTTATTTTTATTTTTAAAATAATTGTATGCCTATTATCATCTCTCTCTTCAGTCCCCATTGCATCATCTCCTATTCCTTCACACCCCCATCCACACATTAACCTTTGCTGTCCTAGTGATCTCCCCCTTTCACCTTTTACCACCATAGAGTAATAGTAATTAATTATATTAAATGCAATGTATATGAATGATTACATAAAACACAATGTAAACTAATTAACCACAATGTATATCAATGATGACATAAAAGTCAATAAATATTTTAAAAAGAAAATCATTTTATAATATAAATATAACTTTCAGGAAAATATTGAAGAAAATATATAAGCTATTTTACTGTCAGTCAAGTATTATAGCTATTAGTAAGAGCTTTAGCTTTCTCATATCCACCTACAAAATGGTTTATTTCTATTGTGACTCATAGGGAACTTCTAGGATAAGCCTGGAGACTTGATGGAGGTTTCCTATGACCACAGTATTGTAGGGCTTTCCTGTAGATCTTACAAGACTTTGGCTAACTGTCAAGGACTTAAGCAAATGTGTCACCAGGGACCCTTCAAAAGTTTTAAAATCCTACAGTTAGAACTAGTTGTATTTTAGCCAAAGAGCACTGACAGCATATTATTCTGGTTATTGAGCACTGTAAAATGAACAAGGACAATGTACAGACAACCAAATTGAACCTTGACTGATTTGACAAAAAGGAATTGTCCTTATCAACAATAAGCTAAAATATAAAACGAATTCCTGTAAGGTCTGACATGATCTCTCATGCTCCTGAACTTATTTTTATTAATTACTGGTCATAAAATTCATTTCCAATAACTCACAGATGTTACTTTGCTCGGAGTTGTGGGATTCATTAAAGAATTAGGTTAGGAGTAGGGGAGGCAAAGGATATAACACAATGACAGTCCAGGGTTAGTAATCAACATTCCTAAGCCAGGTTAATCACAAGATAGCCTCAATTAGTTCAGACAGTTTCTCAGTAAAAAAGTGAAAGTGTACATTAAATCTAGCAAACTTTGTTTCATAGCAGTCACAAGACAGTTCTTCCTTCAATTGTTCAACAAGCAGAACCTTCAACTCTGGCTCTATCAGACTGTGCCTTGCCACAGTCTCTCTACAGTCATTTACTGTTCTCTCTTACACTGGCTTCATAGTTGTTGATGGTGTTGAAGATACTGATCAAAGTTAAACCATGTGACTATAGTTGAGACAGCTGCAGACCACACCTCAATGGAGCTAAGACAATTCAATAGAAAAGACATTTTTAAAAGTTTTAACTCCACAGAATGACCACTCCATGGATTTTCTAGTCATACTCCTTTATATCCAAAGGATCAACTTTCTCCTCACCATCATTTACATTCATGAAAATGTGTAAGCCAGCTCCTTCATGCCTTATGTATTAATCTACCCATTTTATATAGCAAACTGCTAATTTGCCTATTCCTATCAAGCCAGTATGGTGGGGAAGTAAACATGTCACTTTCATAGAAGAATGTGTTGAAACTTTGAGCGTCCACATATATAAACAAAGGTCCAGTTCAGAGCAAACCATCAGGTTATAGCAATATATATTAGTTCACAGTATGAAACATTTTCTCTTTATCTGGTTGGGTTATGCTCAATTCATCCTCAGCTATTTTTATCTAAGTCCAACTAGACATCAAGTACAATCTCAGGAAGTTTTAATACAAAGGTTAAGGGTTTGCATACACTAGCAACATTGACAAAGAATGGACTATTTCTTCCCATAAAGACTTAAAGCCTTAGAAAGCTGATGGAAGGTTATTATGGGTTAGAATCCATTCCACAGCTAGAATTTAATTTTAAGTTTTTGACATTTTAGCCATGAAGAAATTGAGCATTAAAAAAAGGTAAGTAGTAGCCAAAAATCACACATTTAATGAAGATTTAAGCTATGTTTGAAATCTAAGTCAGTTGGATTGTCATTGAAAGAATATATTTATGATAATAATTTATATAGATTTACATTTTGGTATTTAGTAGTAAAATTATCACTGCTGGTATTTCACATGTTTGAAAAATAGCTGAGTTTGGCCCAGTTACCTACCAAGGCACTAATATCTTTAACAATGAAAAATAGTATGAGAAAATAAAGACACTGGTTTTCAAACAGAAAAATAAAATTAAATAGTTTCTAAAGAATAAAGTAGAGAGTGAAAATTGCCTAAAGTTACTTCTGACTTCAGAAATTAAAGTGTACACTTTTTAGGTTTATAAGGCATGCACTTCAGGAATAACCTTATATATTTTATGTTCATTTACTTCAGTAGTATGTAATCAACTTGCCTTTTTCCGTTTGTGCAGTAATATAGAAGCAATATTAAGTCCACCAAATGTCTGTTCTTCAATTTAGGCTTTCCAGCATTCTCTCAGGAACGTACTACAATCAGTTTTAAACTCAAAATGTTTAGAACAGCGTGCATTTATATAAAAGCCATGATTTAATTTTATCAAATTAAACTAAGTAACCTGTGTGTAATCTAATCTCTTTAGTTCGTCTTTTCAATGGCACAAGGAACGAGGGCTTGGTGCAGTTCAGAATCCAGAGCATCTGGCATGAAGCTTGTGCTGAGAACTGGACCACCCAGATTTCAAATGATATCTGTCTGTCGCTAGGACTAGGGTAAGTGATTCCACACTACTCTTTTCTAATAGTTTCTAACTTTTTTTTCTGTTAAAAGTTGGATTTACTAAGAAATTTTAAATCTGAAAATGTTACAAGTTCATGAAATATACATGAAATACAGGAAACATCTTGAGTAGCTACTTATTTAAAAAAATTCTTCTAAAATTATCATACAACTCAGTATAAAAATACTGTATTACTTAAGTAACAACTATAAGTATATATAATTATTATATATCTTTGCATTACTTAATGTACATCAGAGATCTAGCCAATGACGAAAAATGACAGAAGAAAAATTCGAGCATTTGAGTCTTGATTCTGAAGAAGAGTTTTGAACAAATCATGGACCACCAAAAAATAAATAGGTCTGTTTTGCAGAGGGTGAAATCAAATTTCTCCTTGAAGGCTAGGATTTTGAGACTCCATCTCAAATAATTTTTGGCACATGGCCAGGAGGGATAAGTCCTTGGAGAAGGATGTCATACTCAGAAAAGTGGAGGGACAGAGCAAGAAAGGAAGACCCAGGATGTGATGGATTGATACAGTAACTGGTGTAAAGGGGGTAGGTGTGTTGGTGTCAGTGAGACAGGGTCAGAATAGGGCAGACTTCAGAGCTTTTGAACATACATACAGTCACGATGAGTTGCAGGTTACTTGAAAACACTTAACAACAACAGCATATATAATTATTACATGAAATTTTATAAATCTGAGATTCAATTTGACAGTCCATTATCTTGCCTACTTATATACAAGAATTTAACCTGTCAGTAGCTACTTTCCCAGAGCTCATATGTGATATTAGATGACACATAAACTTTGTTCTTATATGTTATCCCAGATTTCAAAACAGCCAGGAGGCCATTACAAAAAGTAAGCCAAACAAGCAGTAAACGTAACTTCTCCATGATTATTTCATCTTACCTATTAGATCCTGGATTCATGATAGCATATGGAAAGTGACATCTGGAGACTAAGGTGTGCCTGATACAGGCCATGGTCTTCGAAATCACTTGCTATGTGTCAGAAAGCTAGACAATGACTAGAGATGACAGAAGGAGAACTGATTCCTTTGAGTTGTGGTGATGGGGAAGAGTATTGAATATACCATGGATTGTTAGGAAAACAAACAAGTTCATCCTAGAGAGGGTTAAACCAGGCTTCTGCTTTGAACCAGAAGGTTCAGCAGATAGGTTCAAAAGGAATTTCCTCAACATTACAAAAAAATATAAACACAAAATCACGAGCCAGGATGCTCATCTAGATAACATAATTACAATAAAATCAAAAGGCGGTAAATATGGGAAGCCAATACTAAATATTTATAATAAACTGAATGCTATTTAAAAAAAAACCACGAGTCAGTATCATTCTTAATAGAAAGACTAAAAACATTCTTGAGAACCGGGACCAGACAAAGATGACCATTTTCACCACTCCTATTCAATATTTCATTGGAAGTACTTCATGGGGACTATGAAAATAGAAGGAAATAAGAGGAATCCAGATCAGTATAGAGATGGTGAAACTGTCCCTATATGTAGATGATATGATAGTGTGCAGAGAAAACCCCAAGGACTAAAAAAAATTAAAAAGACTAAAAAGGCCAAACCCAATAAAAACTAAAACCCCCAAACTATTAAAGCTAGTAGACCAATTCCGTAAAGTGGCAGGATATAAGATTAATAAATAAAAGTTAGTAAGATTCCTCAACAGAAAAGAAAACACAGAAAATAAGAGCTGCATAGTAAAGTGGATTGGGGCAGAGAGGAGGGGATTGTATAACAATGAAAGTTGGTTTTTTTTGTTTTGGGGTTGTTGTTTGGGTTTTTTTGTTTGTTTGTTTTTCAAAGAGAAAAGTGAACTTGGAGGGAGAGGGAGGAAAATTTGCAACAGTAAGTGAATGAAAATCCATGTTCTCTACAATCTTTCATTAAAATCTCAATTAAAAAAGGGGGGGAGAAAGCAACACCATTTACAATAACCAATCACAAATTGAAATATTAGGAATAAATCTAACTAGAGATTACCTTTACAAAAGACCTTTATAAAGAAAAGTACAAAAACACTTCAGCAAGAAACAATGAAAGACCTAAATAAATGGAAAAAGTTTTCTGTTCATGGTTAAGGAGACTCAATATAGTGAAAATGACAACTATACCAAAAGCAATCTATATGTTTAACACAATCCCAACACATTTACCGAATTGATTTTTTCAAAGAGATAGAAAAGGCAGTTGGTAAGTTTATTTGGAGAAGCAAAAAACCATTTTGAAAAAACATAAATGAAGTAGATCTTGAAACCTACTATATAGCCGTAATGATCAAAACAGCATGTTGCTGGTACAATGACAGGCACACTGACCAATAGAACAGAACAAATAACATAGAAATTAACTCTTTTATGTATAAACAACTGATATTCAACAACAAAACAAAATCTATCAAATGGGAAAATTGCAACCTCTTCAACAAATGATGCTGGCAAAACCTTATTGTTCCCTGCAGAAAGCTGAAGCAAAGCAAGACCTGTGTTTCACACCATACTCAAAAACCAATTCAAGGTGGCTCAGAGACTTTGGAGTAAAGCCCCAAACCATAAAGATCATAATAGACTAATTGGGACAAAGATTAGAAAGCCTAGCTTAAAGAGGCACACAAATTCAGCCAGAAATACAAAACAAGGAGAAGATAAAATGGATGAATGAGATCTAAAGATTAAATCCCTGTGTACATCAGTTGTGCGTTTTTGTTTGTCCCCCCCATAAGATAAAAATAAAACCAAGTGAATGGGGAAAAAAACATTTGGCAGTTGTATTTCAGACAGCGGCCTCATAACAACAGTTTTACAGAATCCCATAGAGCCTCCACAAGAAAAAGACTGATGATGCAAATACATAATGGGAAGAAGTAATGGAAAGACTTTTCACAGAGGAAGACATTCAGATGACCAACAGACACATGAATAAATGCTCAAAGTCATTGCAAATAAGAGAGAAGCAAATCAAAACCACAATATCATCTCACCCCAGTAGCAGTGGCAAGTTTAACAGGCTAGAAAGCAATAAATATTAGAGAAAATGTGGAGAGATTGGAATTCTCATAAATTGTTGGTAGAATTATAAAATTGTACAAAAACTATGGAAGAAAGTTAGATGTTTCTTCAAAAACCTAAACAAAGAAATCCCATATGAACCAGCTAGACATCTACTTAGAATATAACATCAAATGAGAGCTGAAACACAAATGGAAACACATAGCAGCATTGTTCACAATCAAAAGAACATGGAAACAGGACAAACGACCAACCACAATCAAATGGATTGAGAAATTTTTATATATTCAACAGGTGGAATACTATGCAGCACTCAAGAGCAATGATTTAATCTACTTTAACAAAGATTTATGACTTCCTAAACCCAGATGGCCAACTGACTGGAAGAGATCTATATTTGTTCGCATTCCAAAGAAGGGTGACCTAACAGAATGTGGAAACTACAGAACAATATCATTGATTTCACATACAAGCAAGATTCTACTGAAGATTATCCAAAAACGACTGGAACAGTACATCAGCAGAGAACTGCCAGAAGTCCAGTCTGAGTTTAGAAGGGGTAGTGGTACTAGGGATACTGTAGCTGATGTTAGATGGATCTTATCTGAAAGCAGGGAATACCAGAAGTATGTATATCTGTGTTTCATTGATTATACAAAGGCATTTGACTACGTGGATCATAACAAACTGTGGCTGACTCTGAGAAGAATGGGAAATCCCAGAACATTTAATCGTGCGAAACCTATATTTGGACTAAGAAGCAGTCATCAGAACAGAGCAGTGTAACACTGCATGGTTCAAAATAGGGATGTATCCTATCTCCATACCTTTTCAACCTGAATGAGGAGCAGATTATCCGAGAGTCTGGGCTCTATGAGGAGAAATGTGGCTTCAGGATTGGTGGAAGATCTATTAACAATCTGTGTTGTGCGGATGACACAACCCTGCCTGCTGAAACTGAGGAGGAACTCATGCACTTGCTGCAGAGGGTCAAGGACTGCAGCCTTCAGTATGGACTGAGACTCAATGCCAAGAAGACAAATATTCTCACCACTGGACCAATTGGTAGCATCAGAACGGATAGCGAAAAGATTGAGATTGTTCACAGCTTCAGTTTGCTTGGCTCCACGGTTAACACTCTTGGCACCAGCAGCCAGGAAATCAAAAAACGTATCACGATGGGAAAGTTTGCTGTTAGGGACCTCTCTAACGTACTCAAGTGCAACGTCGTGTCTCTGGAGACTAAGGTGCGTCTGATACAGGCTTTGGTCTTTGCAATCACTTGTTATGCATCAGAGAGTTGGACAATGACTAAGGAGGACAGAAGGAGAATTGACGCCTTTGAGCTGTGGTGCTGGAGAAGAGTAATGAATGTACCATGGACTGCCAGGAAAACAAACAGATTCATCCTAGAGAGGGTTAACTCAGGCTACTCCTTGGAGGCAAGGATTCTGGGCCTTCGTCTGATATACTTTGGACATGTAAGGAAGGACAGGTCCTTGGAGAGGGACATCATACTTGGGAGGGTGGAGTGACAGTGCAGGAGGGGAAGACCCTCTATGAGGTGGATTGATTCAGTGATGGATAATTGGGATGGGTGTGTCAGAGGCAGTGCGATTGGCACAGGATAGAGCAGGTTGAGCGCTGTTGTGCATAGGGTAGCTATGAGTCGCAAGCAACTCGATGGCACATAACGCCAACACAACAAACCCAGATGGAGACAAGAACATCCCTGATGTACTCCTTTCCCGATTTTGATCCATGCGGTGTTTCCTTGCTGTGTTCTGATGACTACTTCCTGATCCAGTTACAGGTTTCATATGACCACAATCAAGTCTTCTGGGATTCCCATTCTTCTCAAGATTAGCTACAATTGTTTTGATCCACATGGTCAGATGCATTTGCATAGCCAATGAAACATAGATAGACATCCTCTGGT